CAGAATTTCTGGGAAAGAAATTTATGGAAAGAGAAATTAGATCCATGTGTCTACTGAAACTTTGCGGGAAGCATTTGCCGCACAGGAAGAGATGCTGAACATAACGCACGGCTGGGAGACTCTGTATGTTCAGGGCATTTTAGGAAACTGTGTCACAGAACTGAGCAGACTTGCCTGCCAACTGTGTTATAATAAGACCTCTAATTGTGAGCAGTTGAGAGCCTCTTGCCATTTATAGACTTGTTCTAAAGCCTGTGTTCAGAGAAGGCTGTGGGAAAAAAGACTTTGACAAATACTCGAGGGTACTGATTTGTCACGGAAGCAAAGGGAAAACTGCAGAGCTTATGGAAAAAGTGACACTGAGCACTTCCCGGGAGGAACGTGAGTCCTCAGTCCCCTTTTCGTATGAATTCTTTGTATTTTTACTTTTGCAGCTCATTAAAAAAATGTTTTTCTGAGCCAGGGATGTAGCTGGGGGCAGAGCACTGGCTTGCGAGTGTGGGCCCAGGATTTCTCTCCCGGCTCCACAGTGGGTCATTTCCTTTCCCGACCTCTGACCAGCTGATGCAGGACATCTTGGGGCGAGAGCGTGGGATGAGCTTGACCATACCCGGATGCCAGGGGCCAGCACCGTGCCACCTTCCTATCTGTCTGGAGGTGTGGCCCAAGGGAGTGGGGGTCTGGGGAGGCTTACACTTGGACCACTTTGCTTTGTTCTGGGGCCCCCAAATTGAAACAGTGCTGGGGGTCCCCAGGCCTTGTGGTTGTCTCCGCAGGCTGTGGGGAAGCCGCGTCCGCTGAGCTCGGCTCTATCTGTGGGCTGAGCCCGGGGCAGGGGGTGGTGGTGGGCACTGTGCCCCCAACACTATCGTGGACTCTGGCCCTGGGATCTCTCGGTTTGATGTTGGCCTGGCTCTGGCGCTGCCCTCAACCCTCGCCCTTCTCATCTTGGGCACTTTCCCAACACACGTGGCCCAAAGGGTCTGCATCAAGCATTGGGGTCTCCAGGCCTCTGGGGTTCTGCCCGTCTCTCTGCTCTGCCCTCCTGTGACTGCAGCGTGCAGGATGCCGGGCCCACTTGGGGGCTGCCCAGAGCTGTGGCCTGGCTGCTGGGGTCAGGCTTTGCAGCCGTGCCGGCCCGCAGGGCAGGGACTCGAGTCTGGGTGTCTGCGGTGGCTGTCATGGTGGCTGTCGAGGTGACAGAGGTGTGTGGGCCCTGCTCCAGGCCTGTCCCCGTGGAAACAGGAGTGAGGTGTGTGCTAACGCGGGGGTGGGCTTCACACAGGGCCGTGCTGGGGTCTGTCCCCGGTGGAGCCACATCTCACATCGCTGTTACCCTCCTAAGAAGTCACTGATCACGTGGGTCCAAGCAAGGGTCCGGCCTCGCTGGTGGAGTCCGTGTGGGTGCTTCTGGGTGAGCCCCACCCGTGACCTGCTACCGGGATGAGGGCTGCCTGCTGCACCCCTGGGGGGGTGTTTGGTATGAAAATGAGGGGCGAGCCCTGAGGGTGAGCACCAGGCTCCCACTGGCACAGGCTCAGTCCACTTCCTTCTGGAAAGTTCTCTCTAGACTGGGCGGCTGTAGCATAGCCTTCCCTTGAGATAGTGCAGTTTGAAGCGGGCAGGGAAGGGCACAGGGACAGACCAGGTCTGGAGGCCAGCAGACAACAAGGGACAGACTCAGGGTGTCCGACAGTGGACGGGGCATCGAGGCACAGGACCAGTGACGGTCTCCACGGGTCAGAGGGGCCTGGACGCGGGAGGGGCCAACCCTGGACTCCAGGTTCCTAAGCCCGAGTTGCTCGCCATGGTTGTGTCCAGTCCTCCGTCTGCTTCCTGGCAGTGGCCACGGGGCTTCCCCTTCTTGGTTCGGTTTTTGGACCACACCCTGGGCTGGCTGTGCACAAGGCCAGCGCCTCACCTGTACTACCGCAACAGTAGCAAGCGGTCAAGGCCACCTGACCATCACAAGGCCATAGCCAGGGGTGGGCATCGAGTAGGCCACGCTGCCAACAGCAGGTGCCACCGGTCAAGACAAGCGCACAGATGAGACAGGAGGGGGCACACCTGGGGCCACGCTCAGGCCGGAGAGTGTCCAGAGCCTCAGGCAGGGCTCTCTGCCACTGTCCTCCTGGCCAGGCCACTGGGCAGGGCCCAGGGACACCCGCGGGGCCTTGCGACACACAGGTGATGACCCTATGAGCTAGGGCTAGTGGGATCCGGAAGTGGGGGTCAGCGGCCCAAGGAGGGGACGCACAGGCCAGCGAGCAGGGAGACTGGACGTTGTCTCGGGGGCAAAGCCCTTTCGGCTCAGTTGTGGTTTTATTTGGAGTGACGTGGGGCTGATGGGAATGACGGGGTTCCTGCAGATGCCTGGGACTCGGCAGAGGCTGGGGGGGGGGAGAGGCTGGTCCCGCTCAAAGGGGGAAGTGGCCGGAACCTTCTAGTCCAGAGTGAAAGGGCCGTTGCTATTTAACTTCGTTTGTTTGGGGGCCACACCCAGTGGGGACCATGCACGCCCTGAGGGTAACCCTAGGTCTGCCACCCACAAGGCCAGTGCCCAACCCACTGGACTGCCCCACTGGCCCATCATCTTTTTTTTTTCTTTTTCTTTTTGGACCACACCCGGTGATGCACAGGGGTTACTTCTGGCTCTGCACTCAGGAATTACTCCTGGCGGTGCTCAGGGGACCATCTGGGATGCTGGGAATCAAACCCGGGTCATCCATGTGCAAGGCAAATGTCCTACCCACTGTGCTATTGCTCCAGCCCCCCCATCATATTGGGTTTTAAAATCTGATTTTTTCTTATTGGTTTTGGGGCCGCACTTGGCGGTGCTCTGGGCTTACTTCTAGCTCTGAGTTCAGGGATCACTTCTGGTGGAGCTCGGAATCGTATAGGATGCCGTGGACCGAACTCAGGATGGCCGCGTGCAAGGCAAATGCCCTCCCTGCAGTGCTATCACTTGTGCTCCCTCCAATACAATTTTAAAATAAATTTTTCTAACATTAAAGATATTTTCTTAAAAAATTATTTTATTAATTTTGCTTTTTGGGTCACACCCAGCGATGCTCAGGGGTTCCTCCTGGCTCTGCATTCAGGAATCACTCCTGGCGGTGCTTGGGGGACCTTATGGGGTGCCGGGATCGAACCTGGGTTGGCCGCGTGCAAGGCAAACGCCTTCCCTGTTATACTATCGCTCCAGCCCCCCGTATCTCATTTCTTAACTTTTTAATACTTTTTTTCCTGCAGTGCATGGAGGGACTGAGGGACCTCCACACCAGGGGACTGTCCCCAGCTGGGCCCCTCATTGTTAGTTGTTCACTTTCCCTTATCACGGAAGGGCAATTTCCTGCCACCCGTCGGTCCCCTTGCATGGCTCCCTCCTCCCTGTCTGCTTGGGGCTGAGGCAGAGAGTGAGTCTTCAGCTCACCTACAAAGGCAAGAGGGCGACAGCTCAGAAGAGCCAGCCCAGAGAGACGACAGAGCCGCTGAGGAAGATGCGCAGAGACGCTAAAGGAACGAAGCATTTTGCACATAAAAGATGTTCCTGGGAACACAACCCCATGGAGCGTGGGCGTTTCCGGGCCAGGGATGGACCCACGTGGTGGGTTCATAAAGAAGCTTCTGGAAGCTTCTAGAAGCCAGGCTCACACGGAGGCAGGCTGGCCGGGAGGGGAGAGGTGTCAGCCTGTGTGGGTGGGGTGCAGCTTTGCCAGGGCAGCGGCACCTAGAGAAAGCTCCAGGGGGGAGATGCATGGAACCTGAGGGCGGCCGGCGGGCTGTGTACCCTGTGTGGTGTGGGCAAGCTCGGGGCAGGGGTCAGACAGACGGATGTCCAGCTCCCAACAGACGTAGACAAGCACCGACGGCTTCCCTCCGGGCCCACTGGGCAGCAGCCCCAGGAATGGAGCCCTGAGCTCGGTGCCCAGAGCCACCTCTGCCTGGACGCGTGACCCCTGGGGAGAGCAGAGTGCTGGGCCCTCGGCCGGGAGCAGCCGGGCACCCCGTGTCCACTCGTCTCCCGGGTCACCGTGGGTGGGAGAGGGAAGGGCTGTGGTGGCTGCCAAGCTGGCGTTGGTCCCCCCCAGTGGTGCCCATTTCCCTCTGCCAGCCTGGCACTGCCCCTGCGCAGGGCTGCTGGGACGTCCCGGGGAGTGGACGGAGGTGGGGGGGGTCGCAGGCCTGTGCCAACAGCCCTCGCAGTCCACAGCCTGACCCGCAGCCCTGCCAGGCTGGGAGCTGGGACCTGTTGCCAGGCTGTGTCCGAGTGGCAGGTGACCCTTCTCCAGGCCCTGGCCAGGACTCCAGGACATGTCACCCGATGGACAGAAGGGCCGAGAGCGGAGCTGTCCACTGCATGCTGAGCGTCAGACTCAAGAGCTCTTGGAGGACACGTCTTGAGGCTCCCAGGGGACACGTCTCGGGGCTCCAGGGGCCAGAGGCAGCAGCTGGGACGGTGCAGAGCGCGGCGGGTACCCAGGCCTGGGAGGGGAGGACGGTCCTTCACACCGCACACCACTGGTGACCGGGTCCTCTGCCCAGGGTGGGTACAACCATGTGAGCACACACAGGAGCAGTCAGGGTGGAAGCGGGAACCAGCTCTGATAGGGGTGAGGGACGCGTGCTAGAGGGCTCTAGGCTCACCAGCTCTCTGTTGGCACAGTGCCAGGGCTCCAGAACCTTCTGGTAGCCTGGCTGGCAGTGGGGGTGGGGAGCAGCAGCAGCTGTGGGTGGTGGGCCACCCTTGGGGAAGGCGCTGAGTGGTCCACCCACGGTGTGATGGTCAGTCCCGTTGGCCAGTGGTCCTAAAGCCGGGGGCTATGCCACGTGCCACCCCGCTGTCTCCCACTGGGTCAGAGAGCCACAGGGGCAAGGGTCGCGGTGCCCCTACAGGGCAGGCAGAGGCCCCGGCGTCCTTTAACCACACTTTGGCCACCGCACCGGACAGTCCCCGCTGCCCCCGTCCTGGGCCTGCTGCTGGCTCTCTTCCGCCGCCCCTACACCACGCCCTCCGAGCGCTGACTTCGCCAGGCCACCAGCAGCGTCACCAGCAGTGTCACGAGCACAGGCACCGCGATGAAGGAGCAGAGGACGCTGCCCGGCGGGTCCTGCACGGCCCGGCCTGTGGCGGGGCAGGCCTGGAAGTAGAGGCGGTGCACGGCCACGAAGAAGCGGTCCACGGCCGCGCCGGGCCACGCACAGCCCAGCTGCCCGGCCACCTGCCGGGTGCAGTTCCAGAGCTCCCAGTAGCTCCTGCGGACGGAAGAGGAGGGGTCAGGTCAGTCTCTGGGCCAGCACGCTCCGCGGCCACCTGCCCCCCAGGGCAGTCCCACCAGGTCCACCCTGTTCCCGAGAAGCCCAAGAGGCCCGCCCTGTCCTGAGAAGGGGAGTCCTGGGACCCCCGCAGACGGCTCGAGGCCCAGATTCCGCCCCAAGGGGTCACTGCGGGTGCCAGAGGGCACCCCCCTCTATCACCTTCGCCCTAGGCTGCAGCCCCCCTGGGCGCCACCTCAGTCCCTGCTCCCATCTATTTCCCGGTTGCGGTGCCCGGGGGCTGATGATTCCCTGCGGGGGGGGGGGGGGGGCCTGGCGGTGCCTGGGGGCCACTAAGGGCGCCCCTGCGTGCCGGGGACAGGCACTGAGCCCACGGCCTCGTGCACACGAAGCTCACGCCCGGCCCTGCCCAGCCCGCGTCTCAGCCCCTCCCGAGCACTGCTGGGGGCGCCGAGACCCTCACAGCTGGCAGGAAGCGGCTCTGCAGCACCCGGAGACCCTGGGGGAGGAGAGTGCCAGGCAGGCCTCCTGCCTGCCTGAGCTCACACCCTGGAGGTTCCCCAGCCCTGCCAGGAAATTCCTGAGGGCACCCCAGGGTGTCGCCCTCAACCAGAAAACAAAAAAAAAAAAAAAAGGAAAGGAAATTAAAAAACAAAGATTCAGTGTTGGGGGGTAATTAAAGGAGCATCTTAGACCTTGTCCCTGATTGAACAGAATACTGCACGTCCTTGTCCCTGATTGGACAGAACCCTGGGTATCCTTGTCCCTGACTGGACAGAATCCCGCACGTCTCCTTGTCCCTGATTGGAGAGAATCCTGCATGTCCTTGTCCCTGATTGGACAGAACTCTGGGCATCCTTGTCCCTGATTGGACAGAATCCTGGGCATCCTTGTCCCGAGTCCTTGCAGGACCCAGCGCAGATGGTGCAGAGACTCACAGGGCACACATGGAAGCTGCAGCAAAGAGAAGTAACAAGCTCAGTAACGACAAAGTGCCAAAGGCTGGTCACGGCCTCGAGGGCCAGCCTGGGGTTTCTGGGGCCACAGACACCCGAGCAGCTCTGCGAGTCCGACAGACCTCGGGCACAGGGCAGGGCGGGTACCTGGTGCCCGGGTGACCCTGAGCGTTTTCCCCTGCACCAGGTCCTCAAGATCCTCGAGTGGGGAGAGAGAGTGCAGGGGGACGCTTGCCTGCAGAGCATCTGCTGCCACTCGTGGGAGGCAGGACACAGCCCAGAATTCCATCCCAGCAAAAATGGCTTTCAGGGAGGCCGGGCCAGGGTCTTCCCGGGGAACAAAACTCAGTTGCGAGCTGAGGAGCACGCCCACTCCGAGGAACGTTGCACAGAATCCTGGGCCCTCATGAAGACGCCAATTCTCCACACACAATAGCAATGAAGATTCATTTCTGGGGCTGGAGCGATAGCACAGCGGGTGGGGCATTTGCCTTGCACGCGGCCGACCTGGGTTCAATTCCCGGCATCCCATATGGTCCCCTGAGCACCGCCAGGAGGAATTCCTGAGTGCAGAGCCAGGAGGAACCCCTGAGCATCGCCGGGTGGGACCCAAAAAGCAAAAAAAAAAAGATTCATTTCTGCTTCTCTTGGGGGCCACCGCAGCCTTGCTCACTCAGGGACCACCTGGCTCACGCCAACTGCAGGCCCAACTGCAGTGTTGCCGCCTCGCTGAGGGGTCTTTCTTGGTGGGGGATGTGGGGTGCAGAACTTCTCAGGGGCCAGGCAGTTCCAGGGATTGGACGAGGGGTTCCACGTGCAAAGCTTGTGGTCCAGACTTTTGAGTCATCGCCCAGCCTTGAAAACGAAGATATTGAAAAGACACCCGAACTGAATGAAGGAGTTCGGTAGAGCAGAGGCCGCGACCAGAGAAGACGGGGCTGCAGAAGCCTCTGGAACCCAGTGGCCTGGACAGCAACAAGGACAGGCTTTGGGACGGTCCCCAGGGTGCAGGCCTGCAGGTGGACCAGGGGGAGGCGAAGGAGGGGGCGGGTGGGCAGAGAGCACAGGCCCACTGAGGCACGGGGTGGGGGTGGGGAGCCAGAGTTGCAACCGAGAAGAGAGGGAACGACACAGGAAGGCACCACAGGTGGTGGATTGGGAGGGGAAGGGACGCTGGGGCCCAGACCAGTGCCAGGGAGGCTCCGTGCTCGAGCCAGGGGCAGTACCGGGCTCTGCTGTTTGAGTGACCATTCCCGGGCAAGCGGCGGCACACAGGGGCCCTAAGTCATGTCCCTTCCTGCCTTCTGGGCTGTGGCGTGGATGGCCCCGATGAGGCGCTCGGGCTACTCTTCTGGGAGCAAACCCTTCCCTGAAACCTTACCACAGCCCTCAGCCACCGCGGCTAAAAATACCCGGCACGGGCAACCGGCTGCCCACTTCATCCTGTTTATTTATACAGAAGCGACAGCTGAGACTCACAATAAACACTGTGGCAGGGGCGTGGGGAATTCCCCGTGAGGACGCTCGGTGCGTGGGCCGCAGAGACCATCGCAGAGAGGGTCCTCCCTTGCCTCCCTGTCTGACGGCAACGCTCCCAACGCCTCCTCCCTGCCCCGTTTTCTTCTTGGCGGGACTTTCTGTCCTGGGTCCCTAATGAAATGTGGAATGTTCCACAACACAGTGGGCGTTTCCCAGGAGGTTGGGGCCTGACCGAGGCTCTGGACACCTTGGTTCATGGTGCCACCTGCTGGGGGACACCTGGGCTGCTGCCCCCTGGCCAGGCCTGTGGCGTCCACCGGTCACGGAGCCTGGGGGTCCCTGTCCTCCCCCATTCGTGGCCCCCGGCCCCACATGCACGGGCTCCGACAGTCGAGGGAGGCCGATCTGTCCATCTCTGCCCTGTCTGCTGCCTTTGGGGCTCCCGCCACCTGACTTGGGGTCAGCTCTGCCCTCATCGACACATTCTCAGAGCTGGGCCTCGGAGTTAGGGGAAGTTTCTGTTCTGTAAACGCTGTGGCCACCCCTGGAGGTGCCCGGGTCCCTGGCTCTGTCCTTCCAGCGAGGACAGGCAGGTGTGCTGCCCACGGTGCCATCTCTCCGGCGCCAGTGGGATCTCTGGGCCCCAGATCCCGTTCCTGGGAGTCCTCCCGAGTGACCACACAGCGCAAACAAGGGACATTCTCTCAGACCCTCCAGCACGAGACCATCCACAAGGGTCACAGCCGCCGCAGGGGCCTGGCCGGGGCAAGCGAGAGGCCTCAGAGCCACCCTCGGGGACACTCAGTCGCCAGGTGGACAGGTCAGTTGCAGGCTGGGGCTGGGGACAAGGTGAGACCGGGGGGGGGCACCAGCCCCGGGGTCACGTGCCCACCTGGGAGTGGGGTCTCAGGAGGAGCAGAAGCTGCAGGACTGAGACGCCCCCCGCTCCACGCCCCTCCTCCCCCGGGCAGCACATGTGCCCAGGGTGGCCCGAGAGGACACTGCTTTCACAGCCACAGGCAGAGCCCCGCCCGCAGCCCCTCCTCATGCCCCTTCCTGGCTGACCATATCCTGTGCCCTGGCCATGCTCCCGAACTTGCAGCAAGTGGGATTCTGTAGCCCACCGCAGGGCCTCAGTGCGGGGGCAGGGCAGCGGGCTGACAGTGGGGGGTCCGGGAACAGGACCCCTCTGTACCCCCCAGCTGCCCCCAGGCCTTCCCCCCAGGGGGAACATCTGCTTCTTCCCGGCTCACAGCTGGTGAAGGAAGACGCCTGCGCCTTCGATCAAAGAAGATGCGTGTGTGCAGAGAAGGTGCGTGGGAGAAGGCTGAAGGCTGAGGGGAGCGGCGTGGGCACGGCCAGCAGATGGCCCAGATGGCCCCAGCCTCAGCCCCGGGAACGACGCCTCGCCTCGCCTGCCCTGGGCCTGCTCTGGGGGTGTTTCCGGGGAGAAGCTGCCTGTGGCCACACGCCCTGCAGGTGGGGGGGAGCCCACGGACGGGGTGTCTCGGGGCTGGGACGGAGGGGAGGGAGCGGTCAGCGGCCCTGGACACGCCCCTCCTCCACTCCAGGGCTTCTCTCTGGGAGGAGGAGCTGCACGCACCCCCCAACTCCTCAGCGAGGCCACCCTCCTGTGGGGCCCTTCATCCATCCACATCTCTGCCTCCCGGGGGGCAATTCGCAGTTGCGGGCAGGCTCAGGGGTCCGACTCCCCAACTTCCCAACCCGAGTGGGGCACTCAGCTCTGCCAACGAGGCCCCACAAGTCCCCGGGGTCAAAGGAGGCAGGATGACCCCAGGACAGGGCACATGGCCACTTGGTGGGGCATGCGGCCCACCCAGAAAATCCAGGCTAGTCCCTGCCTCAGGGTCCCCTGCTGAGTGACCATCCCCAGCCCTGCAGAAGCTAGCCAGCCCAGTTTCAGATCATGCACACGCACATGCACACACATGCACACGCACTCATAGAAGCACACACCCACACACACATACTCAGACACACGCACACTCAGACAGCACATACCCACACATGCACACACACGCACACATACTCACATGCATAGGCACACACACAAGCACACACATGCATACTCAATCATATACTCATACACACCCACACACGCACACTCATATACACACATGCATACACTCACACACATGCACACACATGCACACTCACACTCCTACACATGAACATGTACACACAGACACATTCACACATGAATGCAGTCACACATGCGCACACAATAATACACAGACACAACTCATACCCACATGACACTTGTTTACAAGCACACACATGCACACACACATACATGTACTCACATTTACCAACTGTGCACCCCCCCACCCCCGTGTGCTGTGACCGGCACCCTGGGTGCCTCTTGTCCCCTCCCTTCCCGACTGGATCCTGACAGTGGCCCTGGGTGCCGCCGGGGCTGACGGTGGAACGTGGGCTGTGGGGGGCCGAGGGGCCTGTGGTGAACCCCACTCACGGAGCCTGTCGGGAGAGCCCGCAAATGTTCCGGGAGCCTGGACGGACCAAGGCAGCGCCCTCAGAGCAGACAGAGCCCCCCGCCCTCACCCCCGGGCCGGGACTCACCTCACGGTCTGGTCCCAGTCGCACCACAGCGCCTGCCCGATAGCGTCCATGTGGGCCTGGAAGGGCGCGAGGCAGAGCTCCTGCAGGACCGGGCGGTATTCGGCATCCCTGCAGGCGGCCGCCGCCAGGAAGTGGTGGGCTGCAAGACAGGCTGGGGTCACCTGGCTCCTGGGGTGCCCGACCCCGACCCACCCAGCCCCGGGGGTGCCCCTGCCCCCTGCCCCCTGCCCTTCCCTGGGCACACCTGGGGGCCTCTCTTGGTGCAGCCCTGGGAGCTGCTCTATGCCGGGCACTTGGGGACCCTTAAGTCTGTGGGGCACTCGGGGGACCCCAGGATCCACGGGGCACTCGGGCGCCCGTGGGAGTGTCCAGAGCATTCTCTACCTGTTTCCCAGGGGTGCGGTTGCAGGGCTGGGGGGTCTAGGGGACCCCGGGGACCAAACCTGGCCCCCCCCAGGCCAGCCAGGCATGCTCCAGCCTCTGAGCATCTCCTGGGCCAGCCCTCGGCTTTGTCCCCGCCTGTCTTGGGGCCACATGTGTCCCACCACACGCGTGGGCTCAGGGCATGGTCTGTGGCCCTGCACGTGTCCCACCCTTGCATGGCCTGAGACCCGCTCACAGATGGGGAAGCCGAGGCAGTCACTCTCTCCCCCTCCCGGCTCAGTCCCTCAGCTCTCCCTCTACCCGGGAGCTGCTCCCTCTACCTGGGTGGCAGCCAGGTGGGGCCAGGTGGGGCCTCCCGCACTAGGAAGGGCCAGACATGCCCTGGGAGCGCCAAGGCAGGACAGACGCGAGCACTGCAGGAGGAGCCTCTCTCTGGGCTCTGGGGGGCAGCTCTGGGGCTCCTGGGGGTGGCAGGACACCCCCCAAACTGTGTCCCCCAGAGGCACCTGTGATGCGAGTCTGGCCAGGTGCCCCCCCGCCCGTCCTGTGGAGGACAAGGCACGCCAGCCTGGGGCTGGCCCAGGCCTCTGCGGAGCGTCTCCTGCAGGGCCGGGGAGTCTCTGGGCAGAAGCGGGCACTGTGGCACCTGGGCAACGGGAGCACCCACGATAAGGACCCAGTGTTCGCTCCCCGTGTGCCTGTGGGGGCCTGCCAGTGGCCTGTGCCCAACCTTTTTGGGGGGCATATCTGGGGGGTGCTCAGGGCCGGCTTGGGGATCACTCCCGGTGGGGGCCAGGGGACAGTGCGGCACGGATCTATCCTGGCCGGCCGCGTGCCCACCCCGTCCTGTCTCACCACACCCCGTGCCAGGCCAAAGGCTGAGCACAAGCTCCCCCAGCAGGAGGCGGCCCCCCGCCCCCCCCGCCCGGAATCACGTGGCCCCAAGCACCCCCGGGCCGGCCCTGCCCACTACGGCTGTGCCACAGGGTCCCGCCCTGCGGCCGGGCCAAGCAAAGCAGCATCTCTCAGAGGGGCCTGGGGGCCTGGGGGGGCCACACCCAGGGCGGAAGGGGCCTTCGGGCAGATGGACGTGAGGTCAGCGGCTGGGGGTCGGGGGAGGGGTTCCTAAGGGCTGGATAGGAGGGGGCTGGAGGGCAGGCGGCCAGCAGCTCGGACACTCCCGTAGCCCCAGGTTTTGCAGGCCGTGAAGGAGTTTTCACTGGACACACGGGGCTTGTCAGCCCTTCCCAGCATGCCTCAGCCCCTGCTATAGCCACTGGGCAGCAACAAGCAGCTGGACGAGTGGCGGGAGCATGCGCAGAGGGTGTCCACAGAGGAGCTCAAGGCCCTGATTCCTGCCTCAGTTTCCACACATGAGGATCCTGGGAGACTCCCGAGGGCTCTGAGTCTGTACCCGGCCTGACTAGCGGCTCCGAGAACCACACATGGGCTTGTCACCAGAACCCAGTGAACACGCTGCCCTCAGCCCGAGAGAGGAAACCAGACGCACAGGCACTGGGTGGAGACGAGAGGCTGGATGTCCAGTGAAAACTCCTATTTACCCTACAAAACCCAGTGAGCCACAGCCCGCAGGGCTCCTGCTGCGTCCTACAAGCACCCACTGAGGGTCCTTCCCTCCCGGGCTTCCCTCCTTGCAAGCCACACAAACAGGCTGGGGAGCGTCTCGCCCACCTGGGCCACCCGCCCCTGCAGGGATGATGAGGAGATGGCCGTCCCTCCAGGGCCTCCACCAGGAGAGGGGCCCCGAAGGCGGCTGCAGACCCCACCCTCTGTCCTTTCTCGCCCGAGATGCTGTCCTTGAAGCGCCCGCTGGGCTGGGTGTGGAAGAACCGGCCACGTGGCCCAAATCCACAGGGAATGGGGTGCCAGGCCAGGCTACCCGACCCCAATGAAACCCGCTCCCAAGTAACTCACATTGAAGACAAAAAACAGAAACAAAAAGGCGCCAGCTACACAGCGGGTATGAGGCAGGGAGGGAGGAGGGAGTTGGGGGTCCCGGGAGGGAAGGCCAGGGAGAGAGATTCACTCTGCAGAGAGGGGGTGCCCGCGGGTGGGGTCAGAGGGTCCCCACTGGGCCACCCGAACAGGTTCCGGCCCCCTGCAGGTCAGTGTCTGCAGGCGGAGGGACACAGGTGCCCCCACCTCACAGGACCTCACCCACGGGCGCTGGGCGGGGGCAGGAACTGCCACCGGAACTGGAAGCCTGTGCCCTCAGGAGCCCCCCTCAGGGGCACCCGACACCCTGTGGCTCGAGGGACCCCCCCCAGGGTTCTCGGGGGTCTTCTCACCCAAGGCCCGAAGGCAGCTTTGTGGGTGATACCGAAGCTCCTTCTGCTCTGGGAGGTGCCACTGTCCCTCCCGGCCCCGTGGCACCTGCAGGCCAGTTCCCAGGCGTGAATCAAGGGGGCACGCAGGGGTCCCTGGTTTTGGGATGGGGGTGCCTCCCCGCACACCCTCAGACGCTCCTTCCTGTGGGACACCCTCCTGCCCCCACCCGCAGAAGCACGAAGGAGGGGGTGCGGTGTCCACCAGCGCAGCGGCCAGCAGCCAGGTCCCTGCCGGCTGCCCCCTGGGCCAGGCAGACGCGCCCCGCACAGGAGCTGCTGCTGACCAGTGAGAGGTGGACAGGGGCGCACCCGGGGGTCAGGTTTGGGGGACTCAGGCTCAGCGGGTGCTGGCACACGGGGGCAGTGGGATCCACAGACCCCGCCGTGGGACTGGGCCCGCCAGACAAAGGCCGCTCTGTGATCTGACCGGGGACCCGCCAAGGCGACGACAACGCGGGGCCTGGAACCCTGGTGTGTGTCTGGGGACACGGCTGCCGCCCCCGGAAGGAGCCATGGGCGCCGGGCTCTGTGGCCCACAATGGCCCCATTATGTGGCCCTGGCACGGCGGGCTGTTGGCATGACCCTGGCAGGAAGCCAGTCCTGCCCGAGGCGCCGGGCACCTGGGGTTCCCGCTGGCCGGGGCTCAGCGAGGAGGCGTCCCAGCGGCTTTCCAGCGGGCCCTGAGGGGCGCGGGCGTCTGCACGTCATCATCCCTCCAGGCCCCGAGGGAATAAGGACCCTGAAGTGGGGGTCCCTTGGCCCCAGGTGCCCTTCCCGGCGCCCACGGGGCACCTGTGCCCAACAGATTCTGTGCCCAGGTCCCTGTTCAAGGCTCCCCCAGGTCTGGGGAGCTCTCCGGATGAGTGGCAGCCCCTCAGAGCTGCAGGAGGCGGGGTCTCGGCTCTCCCCAGCCCACGGCACCCCGGGAGATGGGCTGGGGCCAGCAGGGGGCACTGGCAGGCACGCCTGAGGGGTCACACCACACAGGGGCCTCATTGCAGACCTGGCCACACTCAGCAGTGCTCCGGGCTACTCCTGGCTCTGTGCTCAGGACTCAGGGAACAGAGCAGGGCTGGGGACTGGGCCAGGGTCCGCGTGCTCCCAGGGGCCTCCACCTGACTCCCCCCCCAGGCCCCACCGGGGCTCTCTCTTTTTTTTTTTTTGCTTTTTGGGTCACACCTGGCAATGCTCAGGGATTACTCCTGGCTCTGCACTCAGAAATTACTCCTGGCAGTGTTCAGGGGACCACATGGGATGCTAGGAGTCGAACCCGGGTCAGCCGCGTGCAAGGCAAACGCCCTACCCGCTGTGCTACCGCTCCAGCCCCTGGCTGTCTCTTTCTGAGCATTCCCACGCAGTGCTCCAGGCCAGGGGACCGTCCACGTGACTTGTGGGTCACAGGTGGTTTTCGTGTGAGGGGCCCATGAGTGAGGGGCCAAGCCTGGGCTGGCCACAGGCGGGTGAGCGCCTGACCCCTGGCATGGTCTGTCTGGCTCCGGACGCCGGTTCTGATGGACTGGAACCCATGAGACCGGCTCCTCCCGGGACCGAACCATCAAAGGGAATAGTGGGAACGCTCCGGCCTTCTCCTGGGAGACCAGCCCCGCCTGTGCCCACTCCCAGCCAAGACTGACTGGCCCACAAGGGCAGACGCCTCAGAAGGAGGCGAAACTCCAGAACGTTCCCCCATGGCTCTGTGGGGCAGGGAGACAGACACTGGGCAGATGGGCAAACACCCTGGCCTGGATCCCACTCCAGGCAGAACAGGCTCCGGCCGACCCGGCAGCACCGGCCAAGGCGCCACCCGCAGCGCTCCCTTGGGGGGCCCCCGCCTGCCAGCTGCTGGATCCCACAAACGTGTTTCAACACACCCAGTTGCGTTGCCCGGGACGCCGGCCCGAGGCACCGACCAACCCACGCAGACCCCGGCCCCCCACGAAGACTCTGCTAGGGAGGACAGCCCGGTTGGAGAGCGGGTTCAGAGGGAGACTCCACCGGGCCACTCCGAAGGGGACTGTCCACTACGGGGAGACCTCCGGGAGCAAGCCGGACTGCCCCCAGCTGGCGACGCTGACCCCTGATACCCTCGAACGTGGACACTGGCCGGAGCGGGGCGGTGCTGGGGGTAGCGGGCAGCTCCCTTGTCCACAGCGACGGCCTTTCCGGGGCCCTGAGACAATGTCCCACGGACACGGCTTTCCGGGGTGGACGTGGCATCTGTGCGTGCGGTGGAGGCGAGCCGGGCCCTCTGCCCTCTGCAGCCTGGCGCCCACAGGTGTCCAGTCCTGTCCTGTCCTGTCCTGTCTGGCGGTTCCCCGGGCCGCGGGAGCAGAGTGGCCGCGCGGGGCCAGGCGCCTCCCGGGGGCAGCAGCGTCGCGGTCACCGCCCGCGGCTCTCGGGGCGCCCCCACCTCCGGGACGGGCCGCGGGTGGCGCCCGGGGGTCCCGGGACTCTGCTGCAATGAAGGGGCGTTTCGACTTTCACTCGGGGTCCCCGACCCGGGCATCCCCCCGCCCGCGCCCCGCAGGCCGGCCAGCGCGCGGACCGGCCGGACGCCGGACACAGCCCGGGCGCGGGCGCAGGTGCCGCCCGGGTCGCCCACCCGAGCCCGAGCGCCGTGGCCGCGGCCGCCGGAGCCCCCGGGGGGGACGGCGGCCCCGCCCCCCGCGCCCCCCACTCACCCAGGAGCAGGCAGAGGCCGCGCCAAGGGAGGCCGCGCTGGCCGGGGGCCGTGGCCATGGTGCAGCCGCGCCGGACTGAGCGCGCGAGGGGCCGCCCACCGCGGGCGGGGGGGCGGGGGCGGGGCGCGGGGCGGGGCGAGGCCCGGCCCGGCCCGCGGAGAGGTGGGCGCCGGGTGGGTGGGCGCGCGAGTGCGGGGCGGGTGAGCGCGGGGCGGGGTCGGGGCGGGGTGGTGGGCGCAGGCGGGGCGGGCCCGGGAGGGGTGGGCGCGGGGCGGGTCGGCCGAGGCGGGGTCGGGTGTGCGCGGGGCGGGGCGGGCCCGGGAGGGGTGGGCGCGAGGCGGGGTCGGGGTGGGCGGGCGCGGGGCTGGTCGGCGCGGGGCGGGGTCGGGTGTGCGCGGGGCGGGTCGGCCGAGGCGGGGTCGGGGTCGGTGGGCGCGGCGCGGGGCGGGGTCGGGTGTGCGCGGGGCGGGGCGGGCCCAGGAGGGGTGTGCGCGAGGCGGGGTCGGGGTGGGTGGGCGCGGGGCTGGTCGGCGCGGGGCGGGGTCGGGGGGGCGCGGGGCGGGCTCGGGAGGGGTGGGCGCGGCGCGGGCAGGTGGGCGCCCGCAGCACCTCCGCCCCCCGCACTCGGGCTCCCCAAGGGCCCGGCTCAGAAGTCGGAGGCCAGACGGGGCCCTGGTACCCCCGGGCCGCCCCTGCGCCCCCCCGTCCCGGCGGCCGACCTCCCCCACCCCACCCCACCCCGGGGCAGGAGCGTGGCGCGCCGTGAGCCGGGGGGCAGCGCGGGTCCGGTGCGACGGCCTCTGGTCCTCGGCGGCCTCGCAAGGACGGTCAGTCCCCCGGCCGGAAGGGACAGCCCGCCGCGAGGGCAGAGCCACCTGTCGGCAGCTGAGGCCGGGGCAGCCGCCCTCTCCACTCCGGCCTGGAGACCGGGCGGGTGGTCAGCGGGGCAGCAGGGCCTTCTCCCGGAGCCCGCGGGGACACGCTGGTCTAGGTGCGCACCCACCTCTGCCCCCCCAGACAGACTGGCTGAACGAACCCAGCACTGCAGGCTGGGGCCATGCCAGGAGGGGACACGTGGGGGCACACCCGCTGACCACTAGGTGGCGGCCAGCCCGGCTCCCTGGGACTGCAGTCAGCCTGGAGGCCGAGGCCAGTCTCCGCGGCTGCCTCCAAGGCTGAGCCCTTCGCCTGCACCCGCAACCCCTCACAGCCTCTCTGACTGTGGTCAGCCCTGCGCTGACCAGCTTCTTGGGTTGTTGAGCTTGGGAGGTGCCCACTCACCCGGACCCTAGCCACGGCCAGGGGACACTCTCCTTCCTAGTGCTCTCATGGTCACCTTGGGTGTCCGGGGCCAGTGCCAGGCAGAACATTGGGCACTGGCATGCTGCCTCTCCCCTGCTCGGCTCCTCCAGCCTGACCAGTGTCCCCGCAAGTGGGCAATGTCCTCACAGGCCGGGCCAGGGTGGGGGGACACTCAGGTGGCATCAGGGGCAGTTTCTGGGCTGATTTCAGGTGGATTTCCAGGGGGCACTGAGTGTTTTTTTCCTGGAAAGGGGCGGGAGGTGCCCTGAGCTCCGGAGGGTCAGCTGGCAGCCCCAGCAGGCACCCGGGGCTAAGGGCTGGTGGACACTGCTGCAAGCCTGACGTGACCACAGGGCAATTCCGCCTCCCCATGACAGAGCAGCTGACGCTGGCTGTCACCAGGGCCTGCTGTGTGAGGGGGCGCTGGCTGTGGAGAGCTGCCAAAGGCCACTGCAGACAGAGCGGGACTCATACCAACCTTCCTTGGCACCTTCACCATCCGCCTCTACTTCAACTCCCTGGGGAGTCACTGGGCTGGGCAGGCGCACAACCCCAAGGTCACTCCTGGATAGCAGCAGCCGCAGCCGCGTTCAGGGGACTCAGCACTAGGAGGCTGACCCCACGGCGGTGCTCTGTGGCTGGAACTTCGAAAGGCTGCCCGGGCAGCTCCAAAGCAGTCGCTGCCGCATCCAAGACCAGAAACAAGCCCCCAAGCCAAAGCCCCAGGATGACGAGAACTTCAAGGGGCCGATGTGTGTCCCGAGTCCCCCGGAGAGCTCCGTGCCCGGTACAGGTCCGAGTGTCAGGAAGCCCCAAGCGCCTGGTCCTGAGAAACCGCCTCCTGCTTATCCCCAGGAACCAGGGAGCGCTGAAGAGCCAGAGAAAGAGGCCGAGTGAGAGCAAGGCGGGCCGCCGCTCCCAGGACTGAGGGAGAAACGGCCCATGGCCTGGGCGGGGGGTAAGAGCTGACCTCCAGCACCACCTCCCCCCTGTCCCCCTGATCCAGCCGAGCCAAGTGGCATTACTGCCCTGAGCACTGGACCTCCAGGCCCACCCAGGAGTAGTCCCTGGACCGAGTACTTCCTGGGAGGCCCCGGCCAAACAGAACAGAAATCCCAAAGCCCACCACCGAACAGCCGAGAAGTCTTCAATTATTTGCTGACACAAAAGAGAATCACAGGCCGGCGCGTGATTCAGAGCCAGACATTAGTCATCAGCGGTGAGATCGTGGTTGCAGAGGGAACGGCTGATAAGCAGAACAGCTGTCAGGGGCGCCAAGGACGGCCGTGAGAAACATCCCAGCGAAGTGGCGTCCTGGGTCCTTGGCAGCGGCTCCTCACCCCAGGGAGTCGAGAGCTGAAACCCGAACTGTGGGGTCTTGCAGGCCCAATTGTGAGGACAGAACATCAGCTGCCCATCACCGTTCCCCAGATGTTCGACACCAATGGAGAGAACCGGAGACCTGCCCTGCCACCTGCAGCCCGCTCGCCTTCGTCTTTGGGGGAGCCCAGTTCCAGGAGGCCAGCGGTGAAATCTGACCGGGGGTGACCAGAAACTGCCACCCGACGAAATATTAACACCCTAGACACGAAAGATGACAAGCACCACAACAGGAGTGATTTGAGACAGGAAGGGAGCCCTGTCTTGCAGACGGGACCGGCCCCCCAGAGGGTAAACAAGAGCCAGCACAGGGAGGGAAACTGAAGCCAGGGGTGAGCACTGCTCGTGGGTCCCAACTCCGCTCCGCAGTCCCTCAGAGGGCCGTGGGATGCAAGCGCCAGGGTGCAGGGCCCGCGGCATGATGTACCCGCCACCTCGGCCACTAGCCCTCCTCCCATATGAGGGGAGCAGGTGGGCCACTCTACACAGATGACCAAACGGACAGGGACAGAGCAGCCTCAGAGGCCCAAGTGCTAAGTGTGCAAGACACAGGCGCCTCCAAGTGACCTCAGACAAATGCCAGGGCGGAGCTCTGCGGGCACGAAAGCCAGCGAGCAGTTTTCTGGAAACACCCTGGCTCTCCCTCAGTCTACATGGCAGCAGCTGGCAGAGGTTGCCCTCACCCAGCAATGACAGAGAGCCCTCGAGAGGGATGCCCCAGGCACGATGACCAAGTGCCTCATCATTTCCATGCTCTCCCTCACGTGAAAAAGGCCCCAAACGTGGCATCTGAACTGAGTCAAACAGAAAATGGCCACCCAATACCCACCACCTGTGTCCAGTCACAGAGCTCAGACCAGACAGACGGACACAGTAACGGGAATAAAGATGCACTTTGGACCTAACTGTATGCCGGTGAGGATCTGTGCTTAGGGGAGCCGTGGGAACTGTCACCATCAAGGGGAGGGACAAGCCAAGTGTCCTACTGTCACAGTTCTATCATTTGTGATTAAGTGTCCTCCAAGGAAATGGGCACTGCAGGCACCCTTCATTCTAAGAAAGCTGGAGGGAGGGAACAGGACATGACAGACAGACTCACGGAAAGTGAAAGTTACAGGAAGGCTTCATGGGGAGCAGTGCCTCCCTTAGCCCCTCTCGTACCCAACAACTGGGTCACAGGGAAATCAGAACTGCCCAAGGTGGGCACCACTAATACAGTGGGCACGGGAACTGGAACCCACAAAATTTTTGGGGGGCATACCCAGCAAGCGCTAAGGGGTTATTCCTGGCTTTGCATTCAGGAATGAGCACGGGGGTCGGGGGCACCAGAGAACTAGCACGGGGGTTGGGGGCTTGTCATGCGGTAGATCTGGGTCAAGTTCTGGCACCACGTGGTCCTCTGAGCACCACTGGGGGTGTTCGGGGGGATCCCAGGCACCTTGGGGCCCGCCCTTCCTTTCATTGACCAGACAACCTGGTTCGTGGAGAATCATCAGGAGGGGCCCCCAAGTCACCTGAGCACCACTTGGGAGCCCCCAATAAGTATGCAAATAAATTTATAAGTCATAAAATTATGTTGGCTGTGTGCAAGGCAAACGCCCTACCCGCTGTACTTTGCTTTAGTGCTGCAAGCCCCACACATACAAGCTGAGCTGCAGCCCTGGACCAGAATTTCTGAGGTGGAACCCCAAGATCTACATCTTCAAGAATACCCTTCAGTGTCCCGGTCATGCACCACAGCCCCCAAGTACTCCTGATTCATTTACATTCAATTCTCCATGATGGCGATGGACCATTCCCCAAGGTGCTGCCTTGACAAAGGAGGATTTCCTCACTTCCCTACATCCGTCCCTCTCGGAGAGCCCGGCAAGCTACCGAGAGTATCCCGCCTGCATGGCAGAGCCTGGCAAGCTCCCTGTAGTGTATTCGATATGCCAAAACCAGTAACAAGTCTCACAATGGAGACGTTGCTGGTGCCTGCTCAAGCAAATCGATGAACAACAGGAGGACAGTGCTACAGTGCATAAAACTGTTTTGAAATCATTCCAATTTACCCTCTAATCAAAACACGAATACAAAGTGATCATAAGCAAATAGGTGATAATTTTTTTTTAATGCAGGAGTACTACTATCTATTCAGCCACTGATTAGCTGACTGAATTGGGCATGAACTCCACAACAGGTGATAATTTCAATTAAACACTTCCCCAAGCCCCCGCATGCTCAGGCAACCTAGCGAAACAGACCATCTAATGGTCTAGAATGATGCCATGATATGCATTACGGCAGTAATTTAACTGCCTCGCAAGTTAAAAAATGTACACCTTCCACAATGGGTATCTACAGACTCAGTTTATTGTTATTCTATAATCCAGGAAGAA